TAAAAAATTAATTTTTAATAAAAAATTAATTTTTAATAAAAAATTAAATTTTAATAAAAAATTAAATTTTTTAAAAACACTCCCAAACTTTCTAAGTGTTGGTGGTGGATCAATTGTGTGCTCTAATATTTTTTTTAATGTTTGAAAAAGTACAATTTTTTTATATATTTAATTTTATTCTTATTTTTTATTCAATTTTTTCTTTTATTATTTAATTTTATTTAATTTTTATATTAAATTTCATCATTATTTTTTGAATTGGTGTTTATCATTTTTTTATTTCAATTTTATTTTTAATTTAATCTTTGAACACTTTATTTTGATTTATTTTTATATTAAATTTAATTTATTTTTATTGTTTTTTGTTTTGTTTTAGATTTTTTTATTGTTTTTTTTTCAATTTCACTCCTTTATATCTTATGATTGAAAATTTTATTTCATTATTTTCTAAAGCTTGCCATGTTTGAAGTTAGTCACATACTCCTGACTAGAATTATACCTTCTGAATATTAGCACACTTAACTTTAATTTTTTTATTTATTATATATTACATATATATTAAAATAAAAAATAATATCTAATTCTAATATAAAATACTTATTTGAAGCCAAGGAAATAATTTTAAGTAAATGAAAACAATCTCAGAAATAAAATAAAAAAAAGCATAAAAATGCTACTTGATTTTAGGTTTAACAAGCCATCACTGCCAGAATTATGTGAAACAAAAATGAATGAATTGGTAGGATGAGTGGAGAGCAAAAGATGCTCATCACTCCAGCACGCTATATGTATCTTGGAGGAGAAGAAGGACAATTGACTCTCCAACGGGCAAACGGACGGTGCCCAACCCACCCGCCGCACAAGACATTCTATGATCATATGGCCGAAACTACCATGAGTTCATGATAACATTAATTAGAAAAATATTTCAAATGCCCAGAACACTCCATCATGATTGTAAACTGGGAATTCTTGCCAGCCCAAATAGAAAAAAACTATACTTTATTTGCCTTTGTGTCATGCCTGCCGCCCATCCATTGGAGTTTTGAACCAGTCCAACTTTCCTGTTGTATGGTCAAGGTATTTATCAGTCAAGGCATAATTATGTATTAACGGGGATATAGTTAGCCGAACAGATTTGAACAAATCAACTCTTTTTTCTTTTCTTTTGGTTTTTTGGATCATGATGCAGACACCTAATTGGATCTTAATGAACTGTATTCATTCAAAGCATTCTAGCACCAAAACTTTGAGATTAAGTATAATAATAATCGATTTATTACAAAACAAAAATACGAACGATACATGTGATAAAGCTGGAAGACAAGCCAAAACAGACACTGCGAATACCGATGAAAAACACAAGAGGACAAGGATGTTTGGCATGTGAAGACGGAGGGGAACTTCAGGCCTCCTTCTGCATCTTTCCTTTGCTTAAAACGCCCTATTAGGAGTTCTTTTAGAAACAGCATAGCTTATGCTTCTGGGATAAACATGACCAGTCTTAGCCTTGACATCCTGATCTTCATCAAAATCGCATGACGTTTCTTCGTCGATTCTTCCAATAGCAACGCTACGACTCCTAGACATATTGTCTGCTACTTCAGCTGCAGATTTTTTATCACGAGTAATATATTGCTGTCTTGTACGAACATCCATGTTGTTGCTTCGTCCTAAAGTACTCCTTGTGGATGCAGCCCTTAAAAGCTCCCTGTAGTCATCATCAAAGTGGTTTGATTTTGAGGAGCTGACACTGTAGCTGCGAGGCATGTTATTAAGATTTCCTGTAGGGTAACCCATCACGTAAACCTGGTCTGAGTATTCAGTCATGCCTTTCATGTAGAAGTCCCTGGCGCTGGTCAAAATCTTGAGGGGCACCTTCAGAATCTTTTTCAGTTTGCTCTCTTTGCTAGGCTTCTTATTGGTAGCCATCTTTTCCAAAGTGTGAATGGATTGAAGTGATAATAAATACAGGTTTTTATGGGAGATATTGGGAGCAAGAAATGAGAAACAGCAAGAAGAATATAAGAATTTAGAAGGGAAAACTCACTCAAAAGTCATGATCTCCTTGTGGCCTCCAGAGATGAACCGATAGATTGATGGGTATATATTTGCAGTTGCGGGGATTGGAAGGCAAATATATATGAAATTGCTGGGGGCTGCTAATATGATGTCAATTGCTAATTTACTATATATGAAACGCTGGCCCATATAGTTAATTAATATAAAATAAAGTTTTACTTATCATGTTCCACTAAAAACTCTTAATGAAACCTTGGTCAAGAAAAAATAAAATTTACAATTTTTTTTAAATCACAATTTCAAAAACTATTGAGAAAGCCAAATATACACTCAATTAATGTAAGATCTTTCATATTAAATCCAGTAATTATGTTGGAGTAAGAAAAATAAATTGTATTTATAAAACAACATGATTGTATTTGTTTATAATAAAGAGAGAAAAATGATATTGAAAATAAAATATTAATTCTTGTAACCACTCTGTAAATATAATTATTTTATAATATGTGTGAGTATTTAATTAACCCATTAACTTAGGCACGTTTTCAAAGTAATTAAGCCAGAACATAGATAAATGAGAAACTGCTAGCCCTTATAGAAACGGCACACAAAAAGAAAGAAGCTTTCATTTTTTCCTATTCCTCGTCGAGTCATAGTGGTTGAAAAATGACTCTGTGATTTTTTCTTATCAGTGGACTTCTGGTATTAAGGAAGACTGATGACAAACTACCAAGATGAAGTTTCTTACCATGAAGTGATTCGGGTGGTGTTCAACTATATATCAAAGTCCCATTATTCATAACTGGCAAGCTCAAAACTGAAGAAAACGACTCTATTTGAACCTGCTTGATTCATGACATCAAACATAAAAAGGGATGCATTCAACGAATCCCAGTTGCCCTTCCGCATAGTAGCTAGGGCTTGTAGGGCTCGCTCGAGCAATTGTTGTTTCTTTAAATATGGTGGAACACCAAACCAAATTGAAGTTCCCTGCAAGTCACTATACTCTTCCATCTTGAAGCATGTTCCTCCTTCACAGCTTCTGTTCTATGCTTCTGTGGACTTGACAGAATAAGAGACAACCAACTAATTATACTAATCCTCATTGCAACAAGGAATGCCATGAATTGGTCACTTCTTCTAATCATTGCTAGGAAAGTTTCCACGTAGCATCTAAAAGGAAAGTTAAGGAATTGAGTCTTCTTCAACCTCTCTCCAATACAAGTTAGTCGACGGTTCATCGTTAACTGTACATCACTAAACTCGTGAAAGTAGGTTAATGTAGCCTACAACAAAACCTATTAAAAAACACCATAGACATTTCCCTTCGTAAACGTGGATGAGCACAAAAGGTTATTGTCGCATCTGATATCGCGAAAGCCTTAAAAATTTATTAAATTTTTGGAAAGAACGGATTTCTAGCATCCTATTCTTTAATGGAGAATTGTCTTTATTTAAGGAGTCGCCACCTAGTATTATGGTTACTAGGAACCCTAACTGGTCAACAGAGATTCTATGGTCCGAGACTAGTTACGTAAAAGGGAAGATATCATCACCCCTAAACATCCTACCTAAGGCAGGCTGCATTGCTGATTTTTGTCCTTAATTGCTAACATTTTTTTTTTGTTGGTTTATACTATGATGGTTTTGCATGTAATATTTCTGACTCTGGCGTCAGTGAATATTTAACTACAGATATTTCCAACTCTGCCGTTGGTAAATATCACGTAGCTATAAAAATAAAATAAATTTAAATCAGTTATTTTTTTATTCCCGACTCTGCTAACATTTTTTTTTTGTTTGGTTTATACTATGATGGTTTTGCGTGTAATATTCCTGACTCTGGCGTCAGTGAATATTTAACTACAGATATTTCCAACTCTGGCGCTGGTAAATATCACGTAGCTATAAAAATAAAATAAATTTAAATTATTAATTTTTTATTCCCGACTCTGGCGTCAGTGAATAAACAAATCAAATAAATTTATTTTTACGCATCAAATAAAATTATTTTTACGCATCACAAAAAAAAATTAAATCAGTATTTTTATTCCCGACTCTGGCGTCGGTGAACAAATGAAAAAAAATAAACTTATTTTTTATGCATGTACATATTTTTTTATTTTTTTCTAGCTAAATAAAATAAAACAACGAATAAAAAAATAATATAAATTTAAACCGGTATTTTTATTCCTGACTCTGGCGTCAGTGAATAAACCAATAAATTTACATTATTTTTTTATTTTTATTTTTGTACTTTGAAATATTTTATTTTTTACCTTTTTTTTATTTTTTATTTTTTATTTTTCGGGCTGCGCTGGGCTAAACCCAGCCCAGCATATATATTGGTGGCTGGGCTCCGCTCAGCCCCACAGGGGCTGGGCTGCGCCCAGCCGGCCCAGTCCAGTCACTGGCCCAAACCAGTGACTGGCTGGGCAACCAACTGATGCACGCGTGAAGTAACTTCACACGTGCATCAACAGTGTGAAGGTAATTAAGTTACCTTCGCACTATTCAAATGGCAGTTTGAACGCAAGAGTAAAGAAACCGAAAGCCAACGAGCATACCTGTTTCTAGAGATTATGAAGAAGGCTGCGACACTGAAGGGGTTCAACTACTTTCTGTTTAGGGTGATAGTGAAGAAGGTTGCTGCGTGACACGACTAAAAGATTGATGTCTTCTCCCAAGTGCAGGAGTGTCGAAGTAATAAATAACCCGGCAAGACCGGGGTCGAACCACAAGGAGGTTAATTGTACAAATTATAAAAAAAAATTATAAAACAACAATAACAACAACAACAATAGTAATAATAATAATAATAATAAAGAAAGAGAAGAAGAAGAAGATGATGATGATGAGAACTTAGAGATGAAATATTAATGTAAGGATTAAACAATAATAATAACAAATGTCAAGGTTAGAGGTTCCACTAATGGTATATCAAACAAGTATAGTATAAACTCTTATTATTGAATTGGAAACCACACACAAAGGAGGTTCCAATCAGATTATATATTGTTAACATGATTACATTAGTCATCTTATTCAATTAATGCTAATACTTGTAAATCTCATCAAGCATTCATGATTATAACTTATGTTAACAACAAATCAAGTTCCTTTCATAGCTCAGGTGTCGGTTATACCATACATTATGGGCTATGAAAGTGCCAAGCATTTGTTGTACCAAGTGTTATACAACATAAATCAAGATTAATCATTTAACAAGCAAAGTATTAAAGAGTAAACAAGATAACAAATATAAAACATGTTAGTATCAAACATTAAAGTCCATATTAAGTTTACATTATACTTATTCTCACACCATTAGTGTAACCTTTTCACCTTGACATAATTAACTTAGCTAGACATAATGAAAGAAAGCAAAATAGATAAACAAAATAAGAACATAAAAGTTAACTAAGTAAAGGAAAGGAAATGAAAGGCATAAACTTAATATTAATGAAAACAAAGCATAAAAAATACAAAGAGAGAAAGGAAGAGCATGATCTTGATCTGAACACCAAGATGCCTAAATGCATGGCAAATGCCTCCTTTTATAGGCCAAAATTGGGAACTATTGATTTGATGACTAATTGATAAGTGGGTGACCAACTTTTGACTTGGTGACAATCCTTATCTTCTCTTGTCTGCCCAAAACGTCATTGATAACGTCAAAACTGGAGCCAGTTGCAAACATGAAAGTTGTAGGCAATTGTCTCAGCTTTCTTGTGTAAAAAATTCAGCTCATTTGGACTTCTAGAACTCCAGATATGGCCAAAATACCGAACAGTGCTCGGGCTGGAAGACAGATTCGGGCTTCTTTGTTGTTTCTACAATTTGGACTTGATAATGGCCTTTTTAGATCTTGGGCTCCATATGAAAGTTGTAGGCCTATGTCTTACCTTTCCATCCATATAAATTGGACCTAAATCTGAGATATATAGCTCCAGATATGACCCATTTACCGAACAGTGTTCCGGTTTGGATTGCACCGACATCTCTTCTCTAAGTTTGACCATCTCTTTATCCATGCAATTTAAGTTCTTCAAGTCATCAATCAATCCTTTCATTTATGTGATAGACCTGCATTAAAAATAGACATTTACCACAAATTAAAGGTATCTTATATTATTAGATATATTATTATAAAACATGCTTTGGTTAAGGAGTTATTGATACTTCAAGTGCAAAATGATGATATAAAACCATGATAAAAATGCACTTTTAAGTACTAATCACACCCCCCAACCAGCTTATTACTAGTCCCTAGTAATCAAAGCGTAAAATAGAAAAACAATTTGCAAATTCCACAAAGCAAGGTATTCATCATTTAACTTCCATTAATCTATCCAGATAAACAAACTCTCATTAAATTTATATATCTGCTCAATACCTCTTAACAAGATATTAATAAACCTTTCTTTTGTGCTCAATGTATCAACACATAATTATGGGGCTTTTCTTGGAAGAAAACAAAATTTTTGTTCTAATGTTTAAGGTTAACTTCCTTGGGTTGGGATTATTATTTTTGTCTTTTTTTTTCTTTTTTTCTTTTTTAAAAATCTATATACATATAATTTAAAAACATCATGCATCTTTAACCCATGTAACGAGCTTTCAGCTAATGACTCCCAGACCAGTTGGTCTTAGGGCATTAGGTGTTAAGACACCCCTACGAGCTTAGTAACTCGGGTCGCAGATACTGATATGTAGATAGTGCAATGTTTGATTCCCTTAAGCTTTTCTCCTCAACCCATGTAACAAGCGTTGGGCCAATAGCTCCCAAGTCAGTTGACTTTAGGGTATTAGGTGTTAAAACACCCCTTCGGGCTTAATTGCTTAGGTTAGGGAGGCTACGAAACCAAACTTATCTACATTTTTATTATCATCATTTTTTTTTCTTCTTT